ACACACACACACACACACACACACACACACACACACACACACACACACACACACACACACACACACACACACACATATATATACCCACAAGCAAATAGAATTGTAATATATATAATTTTCATATCCTTTATCTTTTGCTCGTACTTTGCTGGATTCATTATATACTTTGGTACACTTACTGTGTGATTTGGGCATAGGTGTGGCGGGATATCGGCCACCGAACCTGCCCGGCGGTTTGTTGAGCCAGAAGTGCATCAGGAAGTCACTGCAGCGGATTCAGAGATCCATCGTTAACTAATGAAGATAGCATTTTTAATTTTTTGGCTATAAATCATAGCCTGTGTCTCAGTAAATATTCAATGGCTTTGTTGTGTATTTTTATGAAAGGCCAAGAAATAAACTGATGCACAAAGAAACGCGGCAGAAATACAGTTTAAAATATATTTTTATTCTAATTAAAATTCATTTCCTTTTTTCTCTTTTTATATTAACAACAAGATTTAAAGACATTTTAAAAGACGCCATAAAAATCTATAAATTCTCTATCAAGCCTCAAAAAACTTTCTATCAAATAAAGACAAATTTTGACAGACTTTCCTTTATCTCTTTTTATGAACAATTTTTATCAGCAAATTCTCAATCAGTTTTTTATCAGAATAATCAATACTTTTATTTTAACTTTTTCTCATACACAATGGGAGCTAAACTTTAGATAGTATCACTACTTACTCTACAATGATTTCTTGTCGATGTAAGAATTATGCACGATCCTTCTTGAACATTTCCTTCAACTTGCAACTCTCCTGCTCGTCGGGATCGATCCCAAGTCCCACTGATCATATATTTTGAATAGATACGTTCTATCAGTTTTTGATGTATATTACTCATTGTCTGTTATAAACTTATTGTCAATGATACTGGTAAAGTTCATCTTCTATCTTAAAGGTGCATTGTCATGCTGTATGATGTTCTGAAAAGAGCACCATGTATTTATCAGTTAAATAAATAAAATAATTGGCGTTTTAATGAATGTTAAAAGTGCACAGTTACACAATAGAAAAGAATAGAATTGAATGACTAAAAAATAGATATTTTAGATGCTCATTATTTTATATATTTAAAAATAACCAAATATGTTATGAATATTACAAATATTTATGTAAAAAATTATTATAATAAATAGAAAATAAAATCGAGTTTTTTTCAGTTGTATTTATTCATTTATTTATTCGTGTATTTATTCATTTTTCAAAGTAAACAATTATGCAAAAGTGCAGCCAAGAAAATTGATGGAAACGCTCATTTAATTTATTAAAAATAAAAAAAAGAAAAAAAAGAAAAAAATACAAAACGAGAAAAAAAGGGTTACAAGCCAAAAAATTATTCAATTACATAGTTAATGTAAGAATATAAGTAACATAAGTATTGGAATATAAATAAAGAAAAACAATTATATCTTTTAGTTAAGGTTTAATACAATGTGTTAGCAATAAACAAACATTTCAATCGCGATTGGATCATTATCAATATCAAAAACATATAGAATATTATAAACAGTTCTGTTTTTACTGCTTCTGTAACCTCTTTATCCACTTTTGTTCTAACAACATATAGAAAAAATAAAATGTCATCAAGTGCTCTTTCGCTCGTTTTTTTTCACTTTATATATATAACCACACAGTAAATATATAACATAATAGTATAGTGTGAAAAAAAATCAGTTTAAAGGGAGCCAGCTGTTCCAGTAGGGCGAGGGATCCGGAGTAAAGGGAATCCTACAGCAACTGTATCAGAAAAGTGCAGAAAGTGCAGGAAAAAAGGCGCAGAGAATAAACCCTAACTAGTATCGCTCGATCCGTTTCCTTTTCAGTTGTATGGCCTGTTGCATCCAGAACACATTAATGCATCACTCTTTCAGATCTGAGTCCAATTGATTATTGCATTGTTTCTTGCTATACATAAAGCTGCTTTTCCATGCGAGCATTCATTATGCGTTGATGCGTCCTGTGTGCAACAGGCTTACCTCCTGCCTTTAAGACAGGTCTTAGACAGAGAAATTTATAAATGCAAACTAACAGAGTAAAGAATCAGTAGAACGTGCTGATCCTCTCAAGGAGTCAGCTGAAACTGCTAAGAGGCGTCTGCGACATTCACTTGTCCTCCGTGTCTGTTCACCAACGTGTCGCAGGCGACCTCAACACGTTCATGGATCGAGCTTCGTTTATCTGTCATTGAGCATCGGCGTGATCGGCGTGATGCAATTGACAAGAAATAAGTATCAGGATCCAATATTCTCACGTTATTTCCGCGTTTTTATGTTCTCGTTTCTGTCGAAGTCGCGCTACTCCGGTTATCACTTTTTTTTTCCTCACCCTTCTCTTCTATAAACAAACGCACAGTCTTTTCGAGGTGCAATATTTCTCGCCTTGCGCCGTCTTCAGCGAGAAGGAGCAAAAAGATCAATGAAAGTCACAGGCTACGATAGACATGCATTGATAACAAACAATCACAGACATCTATCCTCGCGCGAGTCGTCGTTGTTCGCCATTGCTTCACTAATGACGACGCACGAGGTACGACGTGAAGTTGTGCGCGAGATGCGCTAAATCGACGCCGATTCGAGACGGTAGTAATAATTGGCATGACCAATCAAATCAGCTCTAATCTTATTTGGAAATAGTTCTGTTTTATAAATTTTTTCTAAAGGAAACAGGCTGACAATTCATAATCAGTTTTTATTAACGATGTATAAGATTAGATAAATAAATGTTTTTTTTTAATTAACTAAATTAAGTTAAAATTAATGATCTATAAAATTAAAATAGTCAAGTTAAAAGTTGAATAAACAAAAACTTAAAGTTTATGAAATTGAAGTTAAGATTATTATGTTAAGATTGAATTAACTCAAGTTAAGTTAATTTTGAAAAATATTAATTTTATTAAACTAGAATATCTAAAAATGTGTCTTAAAATGTGTTTTTTGTTATTTAGATTACTCTAAATAATAAAACAATGTAGATTAGATAAATTTAATATTTTACTTAGAAATTATATGAAATAACAAAGGCATTTCTTGTACAATAAAAACTGATTTTTAATATTTTTAATTACTATTGTATTTTGATATTTATATTATAAAAGAAAAATAAACAGTTTTAAATTGCCTTGTTAATGTTTGACGCTTAACAAATCACATGTAAAATTGATAAATAGATATCAAGCACAGACATCTGTATTATATAGATCAAGAGTTAATTTTTATCACGTGACCATTTGACATTAAGATGAGTGTCAGTCGGAATGTCGTCAGCTTGAAAAGGCACCTTTATGTATCACGTCGATGGTGATGTCACATGAGAGTGTATAATTTTCAAGAATCTATTAATTAATCACAGCCTATACTAGAAAATTAAATCTTTGATAAATAAATCACTACGATTTTGTGACTTGAAAATTAGCTATCTAAAAGAAGAAGAAATCGCTCATGTAAATATAACTTACACACTGCGATGTAATGTTCATGAAACAATATAAGAAAAAATAAAACAATAAAAAGAAGCACAATTTCAGAGAACTATTCAACGTGCATATAAAACTTCTCAAAATCACTTTGATGTCTTAAACACGAAATGTTATTTACGATCAAGAGGTACTCGATTCGCGCGAGTGCGCGTTATTTACGGCAATGTTTCTCAAGCACTATCTGCATTTCGAATGATCCGCAAGAATTTACTTTACAATCCAATGAAAATCGTACATCGATACGTCGTGAAGCTGAAAAATCTTTGAAGATCGCTTTTCTAGGCGCGCCAAATGTCGGAAAAAGCACACTCGTTAATCAACTTATTAAACGATCGGTAATTATTTTCATTTTTTATATAAATGTAATGTAAATAATTGAAGTATATTATTTATATCTCTTGCTTGCACTTTAAAAACAAAGAACATTTTGCAAAAATTTATTACAGTAATTTATATTTTTTCTATTATATATATATATATCTTTTTATATTATGTTGTTAGATATGCCCCGTATCCTGCAAAGTACACACCACACAAACCAAAGCACATGCAATTTATTGTGAAGGTGATATTCAGCTTATATTTATGGATACACCTGGTATGGTTTCTCTGACTGAATGTAAAAAGTTCAAGTTAGCCGACAGCTTCAGAAAAGATCAGAAAACCTCCTTGAATGTGGCAGATATTATAGGAATTGTGCAGGATGCAGAAAATATATATACTAGACATAAAATTGATACAAATATATTAGAACTTTTGACAGAAGATATAAGAAAGAAGATTCCTATAATTCTGGTCATTAACAAAGTAGACAGAATAAAGAAGAAGGAGGTATTGTTAGATTTTGTATACACTTTGACCAAAAGCAAGAAGTCTCCGGATTTCTATGATGTATTTATGATATCTGCTTTGACTGGGGACGGTGTTGACGACTTGAGGGTAAATTTGCAATTACTGTAAAGAATTAGACACAAGTGATAATAAATTATAATTTATAACATAATTTTTAGAAATTATAATTTCCATATTTGAAATATTATAACATCTAGTCCATTACTTTTTTTTTATGTTTTGCAGACTTATTTGTTAGATTCAGCTAAGCCACGAGCCTGGGAGTATGAAGGACATGTTTACAGTGATAATACATGTCAGGATATAATATGGCAGACAGTAAGAGCAAAGCTGCTAGACATTTTACCGAATGAGGTTCCTTATCGTTTACTGGTGAAGTTAGAGCACTTTGATCCAGCACCCGATGACAGTGTCAATGCACTGGTATCCATTACATGCCCCAACAAGCGCATCGCTCGTCTATTAACGCGCGGTAGAAATAATAGAATAGGTCAAGTCGCTGTTATGGCAGAACAGGAACTGCGACACGCTTTTCGAACATTGGTGAGATTAAAGCTAGCTGTGGAATCTTGAATATAATTTGACTTATATTTGTTATTTGTTAAATAAAGTTAAGTATTTATAAATAAGATATTTTTGTTTTCAATACAACCAAAACGTTTAAAAATCAATTTCTAATTTAAGAATATGATTCTTGCATTTGTAAGGCTCGGTCCCACAAGATTAATTTCAGTTTAGGTTCAATTTACTCTTTTTTTTTTTTTTAATTTAAATATTTTCTACAAAGAATTTTTCTAAGAATTAACTAACAGCAAGTGAAACCGAAAAAAGTTCTTACATTCGTGCAGGAATCTCAGTTGCAATTGGATCTCAGTTGTTTAATGATTATTTATAAAGACTTCAGAGTTATAGCAGCAGTCAGTTTATCTTTTTTTTTAAATCCTAATTTTATTTGTAAACTAAAACTATAAATAAAGGCAGTCTAAGTTCACATTGTATATACGTAGATGTAAATTATTATATTCTATGTATAAATGCAGTATATAATTTTGAAAGTGGGTGTAGCACGGACAGGAACTAAGTAGCGGAAATATTGATATTGTATGTTGCTATATAGTTGATATTCACTTTTTCAATTGGCGCTAGTGTGCCGGCATTGATGCTGTCAGACTTTTCTATCTATAGTATTTATGAAAGTGAGGTTATGTCATCGTCATGCCATAAAATAAACGCGGGAAATCTGTCAAACGCGTAGAAGCATAATAATGGCGCAGCGTCGTATAGAGTGAGTAAATATAATAATTATTTAACAATTTGACATAACTTAATCTATAATTATAAATACACGATTCGATTAATTAGGATAATAATTATTTGTACATAGATAAGTGTTTGTCATTTGCTTTATCTTTATAGTTCCTTTTTCATTAAGATATCATCCAAGAAGGAGAATTCAGGCCAGGATAATTCGGAGAGGTATGTTTTACTATTAATAGTCTCTTTCTCTATGATAGTCGATTATGCTGAAAATCCTCACTACGCGCTTGAGCTCGCTGGCTCTGCCGATTCGACGGCTAGAGTTCACAGTCGCAGCTCGCAGTCGATTTGTTATTTTTAATTGGCTACATACAACCAACAGCCACAACTTGTCGGACAAACAGAATCAGAATGCGACGGAGAATGGCAAACGGAAAAGAGATAGCAGCAATAGTTCCAGGTAATTAAACTCAATAATTTATATGTTGAAGCATTAATATTTTAAATTATTAAAAGTCTCTATTTGTATTTATTTGTTTTCTTATAAATCGGTTTTGCAGTTCACCTTCGAATAATGTTAAACGTACAAAGTCAAAGACACTTTCCAAGACACCTTCGCCAAGTGTTAAGCCTCGCAAACTAGGTAATTACTCTGTCAAACTATAAATATTTCAACAATGATATATCTCTGTAATTATCTTTAAGGAACTACCCCAAAAATTAAGCCTAGTAAGCTTTCCCCTAGAGCATCAAAAAAGGCAGAAAAAAAGCAATTAAAAGATATTTCTGGTAAAAAGAAAAAGAAGGAAGAGGCTGAAAATAACGCTGAGAAAAATAATCATATAGAAAACAGTATAGCTGAAGAGAAAAACAAAAAAGAAGAATCTACATTTTCAACGAAGAAATCAAAGTTCAATGAGATAGAAAAAGTAAAGAAATCTGTGAAAAAGAAATGGTCCAAGATAGTGCAACTAGTAGATTCTAGTGATGATGAGACTCACCTATCTGTAAGTTCAAATTCTTTTAAAATTGTTTTTCTTAAGACTTATTTAAGTTTCAGTTTCAGTTTTGTTTTTGGCCGAAATTGAATCAAAATTGAATATTTATTTTTGGCTGGAGATTAAAATGTGGTTTCGATCAAACTCTATAAATTTCTAAGTATTCTATAAACTTTTCTTATATGTATAAATGGTGATTATAGTTACCTGAAAGTCCAAAAAAATCAGAGACCGATAACGAGGAGAAGAAGACTGAAAGTGTAGACAAGTCCAGCAATATAAATAAAAATGTTTCTGATAACGCTTCTGATAATGATGCAAACGAAAGTGCTTCGAACAATGAAGAGAAAAATCTAAGTCCGAAGAAAAAGTCTACACCTGAGAAGTCGCAGACTCCCTCTAAGAATGAAAGTTCAAAAAAAGAGTCTACACCTGAGAAATCACAGACTCCCTCTAAGGATGAAAAAAATCTGAAGAAAGAGCCTACATCCGAAAAAAAGGCTAAGAAAGTGCCCAACTTTTTTAGTAAGTATTCAACAATTTAAGAGTACTTTGAAAAAGTTGCGTATTGAATTTTAAAATACAGATTTAAATGAATTTAAAGAATAGTATAAACTTTAAATATTTTATTTCGAACAATTATGTATTTGAAATTGTGTTGCAGTATCTAAGCAAAAGGGCGACGTGAAAGGTGACAAAGTGAACAATGGAAAAAGTGCCAACCAATCTTACAACCCCAGCGCGTCCATCTATCATCCGATAGACGATGCGTGTTGGAAACGAGGAGACAAGTGAGTTGAAATATAATTTTGTATTTTTAGGTTTTAATTTACTATAAGAAACCATGAAAATTTTGTACCAATATTTAAAAACTTCTCCCTTTTGAAATTCGCTTACAGAACTCCATATAGCGCATTCGCGCGCACTTTGGAGATCATCGAAGAAACTAGTGCAAGATTAAAGATAATAGAGATACTATCAAATTACTTCCGGTCTGTCATAGTTCTGAGCCCCAAGGATCTTTTGCCGAGCGTTTATCTGTGCCTTAATCAATTAGCGCCAGCGTATGAAGGTTAATAATGATATTAATTATTCAAAATTCAGAAGAAACCAATTAAGTTTGTTTAAAAATAACTATTTAAATTTTAGGAGTTGAGTTTGGAATCGCTGATACGAATCTGATGAAGGCGATAGCGCAATGTACTGGTAGAACATTGGCGCAAATTAGAACCGATGTCCAGGAGGTTGGCGATTTGGGAATTATAGCGGAAAATAGTAAATCTAATCAGAGAACTATGTTTCAACCGGCGCCATTGACAGTTCCCAATGTATATTCCAGATTGATGGAAATTGCTCAGATGACAGGACATGCGGTAACACATGCAACTGCTCTAATTATGATTTTTTATGATTAATATGAATATGTAAAATTAAAAAAAAATTACAAAGTAACGAGGTTTGAATTATAAAAAATAAAGACTTGAGAAATTTTAAATTTATATCATAAATTACAAATTAATTACAATTAATTTGTATTATTGTAAAAATTTTCTCTTTGATTTAGATTTAAAAAATTTTTAAATTAATTTTGATTTTTAAATAATTAAAGAAGAATTACGAGAAATATAAAGATTGTGTAATATATATTTGGTTTCAGAAAAAGATTAAATAATGAGAAATTAAAAGATTTATGTAGGAATAAATAAATCGTAAATTGTATTATATTTATGTAAAATAAAAATTTTTTTTCTACAGTCTCTATCGAAAAAGTTGGATAAAATTCAGACGCTGTTTGTAGCGTGCCGAAATATAGAAGCAAGATATCTAGTTAGATTATTAGCTGGAAAGCTTCGCATTGGATTGGCGGAACAATCTGTTTTACAAGTAAGTTGTTTGCGATATTATACAGTTTTGATCAACATTATTAAATATCTGGATTTTCTTAGGCATTGGCTTTAGCTTGCGCGATGACACCGCCGGAACAAAAGTATCCACCAGAAATTCTAAATGCAAGCAAAAAGATGTCGAGTGATCGTTTCAAAGAGAAATATGATGAAATAGCGCTTATATTGAAAACAACGTATTGGTAAGATTATTTTGAAAATATTATAAATATTACAACAATAAATTAAGTAATTTTTGTCGAAACAAAATGTTTTCCTTAATTAAAAAG